GCTTAAGAAGTTATCCTCAATGCACTCCAGAAGTCTTCTGGATTGCCTACAGCTTGCCGTGCTACTTTTCCAGCAGATGTTGGGGTGGTTGAAGTCCCCCAGAAGGATGAGAGCCTGCAAGCACAATGCCTCCTGGAGCTGGAAGAAGAAGGCTTTGTCAATAGGCTCCCCTTGATCAGGTGGTCTGTAGTAAACACCAACCACAAGGTTCCCTTTCTTGCCTCTGTCTGTGATTCTTACCCATAAACTTTTGACCTGCTCATGGCTATTCTTCAGAGAAAGCTTTTCACAATCTATCAATTTCTTGAGGTAAAGGGCAACCCCTTCATTCTTCCTTCCTTGCCGGTCCCTTCTAAACAGCCTGTAGCCATCGATAGCCACACTCCAGTCATGGGATTCATCCCACCAAGTTTCAGTAATGGCAACTAGGTCATAGCTTTCTAGCAGCACAGTGAATTCCAACTCCTCTTGTTTGTTACCCATGTTACATGCATTGGTGTAGAGGCACTTCAGCCGGGCTGTTGGCCATGTCACCTTCTTAGGGCAACACACCTTAATTCCTTTGAGGTATTTTACCAGTATTTTACCCTGTTGGCTCCTATTACCTCAGAAGCCCCTGGCTCATGTCCATAAGCCTTCAAGTGTGCTCCAGTGTACCCAGCATGGCTCAGAGCAACAGGCTAAGTGCCCTCACTAGCACTCCGTCCCTCTATAACCTTGGTGTGTCATCCCACAGCTTGTTACAGGCAAGCCTGATATGTTCCCCCTCCCCCTTCAAGTCTAGTTTAAAGCTCTGTCAATGAGCCCCACTAGCTCATCAGCAAAGATCCTCTTTCCCCTTTGAGAAATGTGACTCCTACCTGACACCAACAGGCCTCATGCTGTGTAGACATTCCCATTATCAAAAACCCCCAAATTGTGGTGGTGACACCACCCATAGAGCCATGTATTAATAGACTGTGTCCATCTGTTTCTTCCAATGTCGCTCCCCGCAACTGGAAGGATAGAGGAAAAAATTACCTGTGCTCCAGATTGCCTTACCAACTGTCCCAAGGCCCTGAAGTCTCTTTTGTTTGCCCTTGGACTACATATTGCAGCTTCATTGCCACCCACATGGAAGAGCAATAATGGATAATATTCTGAGGGCCATACCAAGCTAAGAAGTTTCCTAGTGATGTCCTTAACCCAGGCCCCAAGGAGGCAGCAGACTTCCCTAAGAGGTGAGGGGCACATTGGGCTCTCTGTTCCCCTCAGAAGGGAGTCACCTACAACTATAACCCATCTTTTCTTCCTCATCAAGGGGTTCAGGATATGCGGGATAGGCGCCTCTGACCTTGGCAACACCTCTGGTGTAGATGGACCATCATCCACATTATCCATTGACTGGTCTTCCTCATCCAGAGCCTGATATTATATATACCTGTTGTACAGAGGCACCTGGGAAGGCAAGGTAGGCAAGGAGGGGGTTCACCTGCCACCCTAAGCGTGGACTTGCCTCCATTCACTCCCTTCCTTTAAGCTACTGCCTTTTGCCTGGTGGAGGGAGGATACAGGATCCCCTTGATCTTGGGGTTTTTTCTGGTGACTGTTCCTATTTCTGTCTCAGGGAGGGCAGAGCATGGTTCCAATAGTCTATCTCTTTCTCAGACTCCCTGATGCTCTTTAACCTTTCTACTTCTTCTCGTAGCTCTGCCACCAGCCTGAGCAGACCATCCATGTGGTCATACATCATGCAGCTGTTCTCACTACTGCCATCCATTACTAGTGAAAGGCTCTGGCACACCCTGCATTCACATTTCAACAAAAGAAGAAGGAAGCAGGAGGTCCTGCAAGTCAAATAGTAATGAGGATGTAAGATTGCATGGTAATTAAATGAATGAAGGGATTTCTTACTGACCTCAAGGTAAGCATGCATAGTTGCAAAATAACCTCATCACAGACTGATCAGATGCCTCTAGGCAAGGGAATCAGAACACAGAATAGTATCATGTGTTTTGCACTTTGAAGGGGTAGCTTTCCATAGCTAAAGGTAGTCATGAACCAGGCTGATAGCGAAGAAAACTTTCAACCAAGGATCGTGAGTGAAACCTGAGAACTGTCCAATAACTTAACTCTCTGAGCTTAAGGAACAAGATCTCCACAATTACCAAAACTCTTCAAAACCTTACTTAGACTGGGAAATCATCTTCATTAAGGAGAGGATTAGAAAACAACAATAAATTATAAATTCAATGTCCTAAATGGGGGAAGAAGGGGAAAGACAGCCTTATTGCAGTGAGGAAAATTCAGATGTGAACAACAGCATGAAACATAACTTTGTCAGTAATTTGCAGACAGTAACGGTCAGTGAGATTGCAAGTAAAACAGAAGCAGGTTTCTAGCAAAGGAAGCAGGTTTGCATGATAACTTAAGTGCGGTTAAATGACATGATCCTTTATTCAGCTAAATACTTTGAGAGAAACACTGGTTGCATTTGCAGAATGTCAGGAGAGCTCCTGGAAAAAAAAGAAAATTGATCACTGGCTAATGGGCAGAACATGAATTCTAACTGCAATACCATGGGCTTACGAGGGTTATGTGAGCTTTGAAGGGGCCATAGGAGAAAAATCATGATCACGGGGAGCTGGTATACAGAATTAATAGACTGCATCAAGACACCAGAGTCAGCACTAGTTTTGCAAATGTATGGCAGAAGAGCTGAAGAGTACTGAAAGAATCTTATGCTCCAGAAAACACTGATTGGAGGAGGTCAGCCATTAGCTACCTTACCACAGAGCAAGTTACAGGGAGACTTAAAATAACTACCACCAGGAAATCTGGTTTAGAAAACTTTGGAATACAACACGCAGAGGGACTACAACACACAAAAGGACACTAAGGGCCTGCATCTAGATGTCTGAAATTGCAAACTATAAATTTAACTGCCACCTTTTTTTCCTTGAAGTTGTGCTTTCATTGAATAACAAAAGTCACTGTGCTGATGCAAGAATTAAGTGAAATACTTAAAACCAAAAGTCTTATTCCAAGACTCACAGGCATTTAAGGGAAAATTTAAGCCCACATATATCTGAAGCACGTGCCATTAACACTTTAATGTTTGAAAATATCTAGAGGACTACTATATCAGAGAATACACAGATCAAGCAACAAAAGGGACAACAGAAGCTGAACAGCATTTCCAAAGCAGGTGTGTTCCAGTTCAAGGCAGACCTCTGTATTACAGAGAGATGCCAACAGTAATAGAAAAGGAATTGAGATTTAAAATATAGTCCTACAAAATATTTTTCTTAAAACTTAGAATAGAATCTTAAAACGAGGTTAACAGTTATACTTCTACTCAACCTGTTATCTAAAATTGATGCTGCATAGAATGTCCATTGTAAAGCCCTACTCTGTCTATGCCTTGTTTGGTTAATAGATTGCTAATGACAAATTGTCCAGGAACGGGATACAAGGTGATGTATTATTGTCTTGACTAGTAAACCATGAAGAATTTCTAACAATCTGCCAAGAAGGAAAGTAGGGGAAAGGTAATTTCGGCAAGGGGAGATTGCGACCACCAACTCAATTAAAACTAGAAAGACTACACCCCCCCACTCTCCTTGAGCATGTGTAGTAAGTTAAAATCATACTGTACCTTTAAATTTAAGCGAAGAAGATATGAACCTGTAAGAGACAAGTATGCTTAGCTAATTTAATGATTATGTAGTAGATGGGTGTGGTGTGTTAACTGTAATGTATAAAAGTTAGAGAAAACTTTGGTAGATGTGCTAGCTTTGTGGAATTATCACCTAGCACCCAAACTTGCACAACTTTGAGAATAAAACAATATGTCATCTCAGTGTGTGAAGGTTGGCTTATTGCACACCAGGTAAATGAGACCTTTTTGGGACAACAAACTCAAAGTGGAGATATAAAACCAATATGAAATTACTCTTTAGATCATCAAACTAAACCAGGGTAGAGTAGATGTGGCCCTTTATTTCTAATAAACCTAAGAATGTAAAGAGGATCAGGTTTGGTGCTGTCTATGAAAGTGTTACCTTGTTACCATCAAGGATTACCATCGTCCCAGCAGTAAAATATGTCTCCAGAACAGATGTATGAAGAAACCAACTAGAGCCAAACTGTCAGGAGTAATGCTAGTAAAAAAGGCAAGTAAGCTTGTGTCCCAGATCTACTTGGAAGGGTAGGTTCCACATCACACTCTATCCTCTAAGAAGGAAAGAAAGGAAACAATTCTCTTTGCACTTAATACAGCCTATACCAAGGTCGAGGTTCTCCTTGTTCTCCTGCACGGAAAACCTGGAAACTTTTCCTCTACTGGAAATGCAAGTGAGCTTATGTCCCTGCCCATGGCAGGAGGGTTGGACTAGGTGATATCTGAAGGTCCCTTCCAACGCAAACCATTCTATGATTCTGTTCTGTGATATGTTGAAGCCAACATCTGTAACATACCCTGATCAGCCTGAGGTAGGTGAGGCAAGTTCAAAGCAGCACTGAGGCTGGAACAATGCTCATTTCCTAATTCTGTAGATCTTTCATCCTTGTTCCTGGGCTTTTTACTTTCAAGAATTGTAGCAGTACTGTACAGCTCTCCCACAGTAAACTGCACAAAGCCTTCCTTCCATGTATGAAGCAAAAAGAGTAAAATCCCCAAAAAACCAGTTGCTTATTCAACCTGAAGCAGAAGCAGGAAGAGCATTTCAAATAAGAACCAGAAAAAACAAACAAACAAACAAAACTACCCCCCCCCAAAACCCCAAGTTTGTTTATTTAAATGGGCACCAAATAAAGACTAAAAATCTCTTAACATCCTCAAATTGCAATGTCCTCATTCAGTGACTGTCACTATACATCATGTAGACTGACAGTCTCAAACTCTCTGTCTGCTCTTCTGAGCTGAACCAGTGCAGCAGACTGGATCGTTTTCTCTTCTTGCACCAGAGAAGTTATGGCTTATAAATTACATTTATTATGTTTTACTGGCAAGTACTTACTTCAGTGAAAGAGAATAGTCATGCTTGCTTGTTTGACTATTTCTTACAAGGTAGCTACACTCTTTACATAAACGTAACAGGTTTTCTGCATCTGTCCGACTGATTGCTCCATGATACCATCTAGGAAAAAGCAGAGAGATTAATATACATATTCCAACTCATACTCCTTTCACTACTTCTTTTCTCTAAGGTATGAATAATGGTTCATATCACATGGATATCTTTAAGATCTAACATATTATGGATAAAAACCACATTGCTCGCATTATCTGAAGTTAACTTTACAACTTGTGGAGACCTGTAGTCCCTGTCAGCTGAAGGAAAAAACTTAGGTCAGGAGAGCATGCAACAAGATTGGTGTACACATTAATGTAAGAAATTCCCATGCAGAGCAACACATCATAATCTCTATCTTGCAAGCAGTAAATACACAATATATATATTTACTCTATTTCATCCCTGTGATATATCAGTATTTCAACCAATATACAAAAGAACAAAAAGAAAGCAAACAAAAGCAAACAAAAAGAAAATCACATCTGAAGAATATAAACAGTTAATAGTAGAAAAGATTTGCTAAAATAAATCTTTGAGAAAGGAGAAAAGTTATAAAATGTGAAGATCTATAACAAAGACACTTGTCCTAAACACAGCTGTAACAACTCACAGTGCTTTAAGTAAATCTCTGGTGCAGTGGGTGTGATCAATTCAGGGAAGAAAGGAAATGGGGAAAGGAGTGGTAGGTCCTTCACTAAACTGACCACTGCAGACAAAGAACCTCCTCAGCACATGCTGCTCTGTATCAGCAGTTAAAATCTCAGAGACCAGAAGTAAACACTTTGACCCTTCCCCCAAGTTTCCCGAGCAATGTAATGTGCCTAGTCCTGCACTGGGTCAGTCACATCTCAGAGGAAGATCTCTCCCAGCAATAGCCAGATACATGTTCAAGCACAATATGACACTACCATGCCTGCCTAAGCAGGATAATCCATACATCAGAAGTGCTCTCTGTCTATCATTACCAGGAACTGTCACTGGCCCTGTGCAAAAATATTTTCTTCCGTTTTTTATAATTTTATTTCTCTGCTGAACTTACTCTAAGGGAGATGTTCCAACTAAAAGGTAAGTGAATAAAGACCAGAGAGATCCCTTTGACAGAAATCATGCTCTTAACTACCTTGTGCTGATGTGAGCTCCATTGTCAAATCTAATGAATGTGCTAAAAAAAGTTGGTGCTCAGCTTAAAAATTCATTGTGTGCCTGGTTACAACGAAAGTCAGCATTAGAGAACGCTAAAAAGAGGGTTATACTATTGTATATTCAAGACAGACTAGAAAAGGAGGCCCTGACAGCTCCATCACTTCACAAATAAAATTGAGGCACAGATGTTTTCAGGCAATGTTCCCCCTATCCCCCATTAGGTATTTACTGCTGAAAGATATTTCTCAAAAAGCAGTTTAAAGACTAGGTTGTCTTCTGAGTGTAAGGGAAGAATATTAACACTAAATGTAAATTAGAAAATGGATTTGGGAGAGTCTAAAAATCAGTCCTATCAGCTATAAATAGTTTTTATTTCTTTTCTACCCAAAAGGCCACATAAAACCAAAATAAAATATGACCTAGCCAAAACCAGGGAGATACCCTGGACTCTGATATTTGGAGGGAAGTATTTCATATATTCTTCAGATCTGCTGTTCCCCAGGTGGCAGAGAGGTTCATGGAAACAGAATGCAGGGCTGGTTCCAGGAAGCAAAACCTGCTTTTAAAACAGTTGGAAGAAAACCAGTGCAGTATGAAGACAATTGCTGATGGGAGAACCTCTGATTCAGAAGTGATGCCTGGAAGCTGTTTTGGCTACAGCTGAGAGTAAACAGCAGTATCCAGAAGTGTAATTGCTTGTGAATCATATGCCCATGTAAATGGGACACTTGGATTGCTCCTGTTCCAGCTAGCTAGAGGAATAAGCATAGTGCTATAATCAGCTTAAAGTTCATGACTAATTTGCTGTTTCAACTGTATTGGGGCTGTTTGCCCTGGGTGTGTCTATGTTTTAAGTGTCAACATATAGGTATTTGTGCAGAAAGGTCAAAGATTCAAATATCAATGATATGGTCACAAAATAGTGAAATGACAACTTGTGAAAGATACCAATGCAAAAGCATGGGACATAAAAACCTGAAGACATGCATGTCTTCTAAGATATGCTGGAAAGCATAGGCACATAATGAAAACGTGAAAGAAAAATTCCAACATAATCGCACCCTTTGACCTTTATCAGGATCTCCTCCCAGGACTGAAAGTATCCTGACTGTAATTTATAGAACATTCTTCCTGATGTCCCTTACTTTCTCAGTGGTCAGGTTTCAGCCACTAAGTAGCCACAGCTCTACTGAAGACAGGACAGCTGCATCAATTATACAGTAAGTATAATCACTTTTTACAGCTCATATAATGCACAAGACTAATCTGTTTCTGAATTGATAGGAGCAAAACAGGAAGTGACCACATCCTATATAAGACTGGGAGGGACTCACTTTCAATAAGGCAAAGGAAACAGCAGAACACACTTTCTTTTTTTCACTGTTATTGAGGAAATGGAACAAATTAATTCAATTCCCGTGAGTCCATGAATTACTAAGTTCATAGTTAAAGATTCCTTAATCATAAGCAACTAGAAGTATTTTCTTGATATATTAGCACACCTTGGTATTCTTGCCTGTTTGTGAAAGTTCCTAACCTAACTATTAGAAATCCATTTGTCAATTTGCATGCTTCCTTTCCTGTAGATCTTTGTAGATCTCTGTTCCTCTTTACAAAAACAGACTCCATTTTTGTAGAGAAAGGTGGAATGGCTTGGCATGTGCTGTGGAGAGGTCTCACACTACTAAAACTTGAGCAATTTGAATGATTATGAATAATCTAAAGTACAATAAATCTAAACTCTTCCATTTTCTGAAATGTTATTGTTAACTGTGCATTCATTTCTGGTTTGATCCTGCATAATGAAGAATCAAAAAGAATCTCACATGAGTAACACTTGAATAATTAAAGGAAGCAAAACTAGCTATGCAGTTTTTAATTGTTATTATCAATTGCAGTTATATATAACCGCAGTTATAGTAAAAGAGAGAACCACACAACAATATATTTATGAGTCAAAAGTTAATTAGTAGATACTCAATTTCCTGCAGTATTTTAAATGTATTTTGGGGGGGTATGGTGGGCTGGAACTACCCAAATCTGAGGACCAAGTTTTACAGTCAAATTTATAGCCTTTTAGTCATTTACCTAACAGTATCACTGAGTGATTTCACAATAGTGGTTGCTACTTCCTCTGTTGGAGATAAGTCTACAATCTTTTAATGAGCAGGTGATTTAAAGGCTGAGGTTGATCAGGGGGAATATGACACCATGTGGATGATATTATTCCCTGTTTCAAGCTTAAGTCTCCAAATATTGCACATAAAAATAGAATGTCAAAGGAAAAGGAATTTCTGGAACTACCTTCTCTCAGATGCAATTGACAGAGGGGATTCTCTTGTACTGAAGATCTGACCTTGTACTGAAGTGCAAAAGGATTGCTAATGCTCCCAGTATTACGAGCATTCAGGAACAAAGTATTTTCACAAAAAGCACACTCACATCCATGCAAATTATGGCCTCCCTTCTCCTGTGAAAATAAATTCTGCATCTAACTTAGAATGTCAGTGTCTTGAGTGGGACTGCCTTCAGGGATTCAAGACACAGCTTCCTCACTTTACTGTGTGAATCCATTGGACTTCTCAGTGCTGAGAAATATCAGTGTAACCTGTGGAAATTGCTCCACAATAAGATTTGTCTGTCTTTGTGTAACAGAGGATTCAGGCCCCCTCTATGAGGCTGCACCTTTGGTATGATACCGGACAGTGGGTCTTTCCATCACACAAGCCAGTCTGTCCAAATGGTTCGAGGACAGGTAACAATGAGGCAGGACAGAGGCCACCCTTGTGGGTACCAGACATTCACTCCAATACAATACTGCCTCCAGATACCACCCTCAAGTTTGACACCACCAGAGCTGAAATAACAGTCTCTTTTCTGAAATCTTTGTAAGTGGTCTTATCAATCTCTCCCTGGACCAGTACTGCAGCCAGATGCAAGGCATTTCTGAGGTACTAGAAACTGGAAACTATGCAGTTGCAAAGAGATGGAATTTGTGCAGCTTTAAAGCACAATTTGTATATATGTGATATACACTTGTTTTCCCTAATGCAATGTTATCAACATGGTTGAAAGTGGAATAACTGCCCATACTTGGCAGATAAAATTCACTGTTCCTGATATGAGTTTCCTGTTTATCTCTATTTTGTTCCCCACAAAAGTTACTTACACCTCGCAGGATTAATTAGAATATTTTTTTTGTGAGCACTGACACAGGGAATACTGAGGAGGGGGAGCTGGATAGCAGGATCTGGGACACCTTGCTGCTCCTGTAAGTGGGGAGGCAAAGAGCTAGAGAGCAATTACTGTGCTTACTTACATCTGCTTTTCCAGTTGAATAGTTGGATCTATTCTCTCTCCCAGGATCCCATAAAACTCTGGACTGCCATGTCTGATGGGTTTAAAGCCTCCTCCAGGTGCTCTTAACTGCCTGCGCTGGTCATTTGAGGGAGAAGGAGATGCTTGCCGTTTCTCACTTCCATTAAATTGGGCTGCAAGATACACAATAATTACCTCTCCAGGCAAGGTTAACATGGAGGAAAATAGCTGTAGCACTTAGAGAGGTTTCACACTTCCCAGGGAGAATAAACATGCATCCACTAGCATTAAGATATAGTGGTTTAACTACAAAGTTATATGTATCATGAAAACATGCTTCTAACTATGCAAAATACAGTCCTAAAACTCTCTTGCTTTTCCAGTAACAAAACCCACACTCTCCTAAACCTTGTTGCGATAACTAGTGCTTATCTTAACCTTTGATACTTTCTTCCCCAAGAGATGATACTGTTAAACAAATAACAGTAACAAAGATAGGCATTCAGTCACCTGCCATAATTACAATAACAAACAAGCAAGGACATCATGAATCCTGCTTGCTTCAGTTTATGTGGAATCATCCTGACAGTGGTCTGGGTGCAAAACCAGAAAGCTAACACCCATATATCTACATCAGAAATACTGGGAAGCAGCATGAATAAAAAGTGTATCCACTTATACAATACTGGCATAAAGCTTTTGTCTTGAAACACTAGGGTACAAAGTGATGAAAAGGGAAAATGGCATTTGTTAGTTTCTCTTACAAACTATATTATTCCAAGAAAAGCAATATGACTCATTTTGCAAAGCTGTAATTTCTTAGAGCACTGCAACATCTGTAGCAAAGCACACTCTAATGATGTCAGCATCCTCATTGTACACCTACTACACTTACGCTTACAGATTCTACATATCTATAATCTCAAAAAATTAAAGGACAGAATATTCACAGAAACAGTGAACGGAGCTACCCATACTATCCTCCTGACTCTCACTGCCCTCTATGGTTGTTTTCTTCATCAAAAACTAACACTCCCAGCTGCAGATGGATTATTGTTTTAAGATCATCTAGTGAGGACCAGGAAGAAAAAACTGCACTGTATCAGGAGGCAAACATCACAATGCACACAAACACACACAGCACAATCAGCACCTCTAAGAGTTTCAACAGCAATATCAGAGAAAATGCTACAAAGACAATTAAAGGGACTCCCTACAACAGCATGTTGTACATCTCATGCATTTAGAACTGCGTGCATAACACACTGTGTGCATAACACACAGCCAGTTAGGCATGTGGCTGGTAGTACTTACTGTTTTAAAGCAACTCTATACAACAGGAAGACAGCTGTAATGTTAAAAAAGATAATGCATAGAGAATGGAGATGTGTTGGATGTGGGAAATGTTTTGGAGCATTTTTTTGTTATTGTTATATGCTTCCTTATGGGGCTTGGGACAGTTCTAAATTCCCCCTCTACTCAGAGAAAGTAGACACAAATTATTGCAAAAATTGGGCAAATGTATTAAATAATATTCTGAAGAATGCACAGCAGAAATATGCTGGTTATTTCTTAAAATGGAAACTCAGATTTAACCTCATTACTGGATAATTAAAACTAATTAGCATAACAAGGAGAAACATTGCATGTGTGTACTTGCCAGTAACATATATGAACAGCGTTATTACAACTGTAAGAAAAACACCTGGATGTAATTTGGGAACTCTGTGAATACTGGTGAACTTGATGTCAGCTTCTGACCAAGCAACATCTTTCAGACACCAGAAAATTCAGTTCACAAAACAAACATGAAACTCAGTTCTGATTGTAGACAGCAATATCTTTACAACATGACGGTTAGAAGTAGGGTCTGTCCTCCAAGAAATGCACAAAATTAAATTTCAGATACTTTTGAACATTTTCTCTGTCTGAAAAGCTCAGAAATGTCTCTGGATTCCTGCCCTATTTCTTTTTTTTTTTTTTTTTTTTTTTTTGGGGGGTGGGGTGGGTGGGGGTGGGAATTAAATTGGCAGGAAGAAGCAGTCTGAAAAGGATATCCAAGCAGATTAAACTGACAAGCAGTGTACCCAGTCAAGCACCAAGCCATGCAAGGCTGTTACCAGGACTGAGTTTCAGCTGCTATAAATTCCCTCTTAACCAAAGCTACAGTATATACAGTGATGGTTCAGAAGCTCAATTCCATGCAGCTGGTAAAGTTTCTTTATTGCTTCTGTTTACATAGCCATTACAGTTATGGAACTGACTGCATACCTGAGCCTTCCTCATTCTCCTTGTGGCCTCTCTTCCTCTGGCCTGTAGCTGGTGCCATGCCCCTCTGGTGCTGGCATGCCAGAACTCTCCAGCTTTCTGTGCAACAGAAGTTGCAGCCAGCAGAGGTGACCAAATCTGGCATCTACAGATCTTCCTTCAAGGAGTCCATGATCAGTGCTGAAAACTACTACCAGATGGCCTGATTTGTAACAGAGGTCCCATTCATAACTGAGGGCCACTTGTTTTGTAAGGCAATACTGAGATAGGCTCTACAGACTTCACATGCATTTCCTTTACCCAAAGGTTTGCTATCTCCACATGAGAGCCTGGAAAGGCCTGATTTCTCACACACTCAGACGGAAGCCCGTGTCAGCCTGACATTCCTGAATGGGCTCTCCAGTGTTGCTATCTCCTTTTGCAGATTTCTGTACCAGAAAGCTACTTTGGTCCTGTTACTTTGCCAACCTCATCTGTTCTGGGCAAACCAGTTTGCCCAGCTCAGCAGGAGGTCTGACAAGACCTGCCTACTTCCTATAACAGCCATCAAAACCACATTTCAGCTTCAGCTGTACAGCCTCCAGTGAAACAAAACCAAATTTGTTTGTGAAAGAACTCAAGCTGCAGACAGTCAAAATGCTGCACTCCAGCTCTGCTCTACAGAGACACATCTTTCAGCACTGCAGTTAACAGCAGAAGTCCCTGAGGAAGGCTGTGCATAACTTGCTCCACAAGTGTCTGCATGACACCAGCCGCAGTCCCATGCTTAGGATCCACAGTGCAGACATGCTCCCCTCAACCTGGACAAACTTCACAACTTGCGCACACTTTCAGTCTAGTACATCTCAAACTCCAGTTTGGAGATAAACAGGTTCTATCCATGCTTCGGCAATAAATCTTGAAATCATGTTTTCCTTATTTAATTATCTATTTACACACAGGCCAATCATAAAATCTCATATTGGACAGATTGTACCTTATTAATTTACAGTCACATGTAGACAAACTACAAACTACAGATGAAGGGAAAAAAAAACCAACAAAACTAAGATTCTTTTCTTTAAAATCAACACTCAAAAAAACTATTTCAGAATTTACCTGATAAAGACCAAAAAGTGGGTATGGAGATGATTACAGAGCTCAAAGAGTTTACAAACAGCAAACGAGTTGTGCACAAAAAAGTATGCAGTAGAAAGTAATAAATCTGTTCTATGGATTCAATGAATTAAAAATCAGCTACTTCATGTAGTATGCACAATACATGAAGAATACGGTCCAAGATTTCCATATGCACACATATGACTCAAGACAATAACTTTTAAAACTAATAATTCCATTTCTGTGGCTGCTGTGTTACTAATAGAGAAATCTGTAAAGAGTGATCTCACTGCAGACAGAGGTGTACTGGTCCCACAGCTTATATCTCAATGTTGCTAAACAATGAAGTTTCCAGTCTAGGAATTTGCATACTTTAAAAAAAAAAAAAAAGACTTCTGGGTAGCACACAATCACCATGCTTGTGTGTATCACAATAACTCTGATAT